TCAAGGGCGAAAGCCTTTTTCCCTTAATAAAGTGACTTAAAGTGACTTATATCTCGTCTCAACAGGTGACAGATACTTAGAGAAGAAATCCAGCATTCATGAGGAATTGTTTAGGTGGTTTTGGAAGACCAGTAGTGGTATTGTTCATTAGGCCATTCAAGGAATTTAAAAAGGGCTTAAGCACTTACATCCTTCATGTCCCTCTAATCTCAGCAGTCGTGTAACTTTTTCTAAGCTGTGGGCTGAAAGCGCCTTTGAAATTACCCGCCCTCTTTGATCAAGTTTGTGTCGGGTGAATTAGTAGTTCTTTTAGCCCTCTTTTGGGGGCTGGTAGGCATTCACGTGAATTGTTATGACTCAAGCCCTCCAGAAGTATGAGAAGCTGGAAAAGATCGGTGAAGGTATGAGATTACGTGCACACGATTACCTATTCTTCAGGTACGTACGGGAAAGTTTACAAAGCTAAAAATCGCGAGACACATGAGGTCGTCGCATTGAAACGTGTACGCCTTGAAGATGATGAAGAGGGCATTCCTAGTTCGGCTTTCAGGGAGATTTGCCTGTTGAAGGAACTTAAACATAGAAACATCGTTAGGTAAGTTCTCATATGCATGTGTGAAACAACGTAATGTACCGTAATGTCAACGTTGACACCTTAAACTAGTTGACCTCCCCTAAATATTTACTGTTACATAGGTTTTCTACTTTTCTTCCTGTTATATGGCTTCCAAAGATGCTAACCGTCTTTTTAAGTGATTTTGCCGAATTATCATGTTTATAGTTACTTAAACCTCTTTATTCCTTTCAGCAGTATTGTATTTTAGAATAGTCTTCCATTACCTTAGCTTGTCTGGTATTCAATTTATTTTGTAGTAGTTCCTGTAATCTATTTGTGTGCAGTGATACGAAGTTATACGCAACCCTACTTATTCGGTTTAAACCGATAAGTAGGAAATTAAACAAGGCGGACAGACAAAATAGGAAAGACTTCTGTTTAACAACGAGAAATAGTTCAAAAAGCTACACTAGGAGCGAAACAAGTGACGGTCTTTTTAATTAACTAACATTTTTTCTTGTTTATATGAAGAAACCAAAATAGTCTTGTGTGCAAAGTTTATTGCGTGTTAGTTGAAGGACTATTAACTAATCTATAGGTTCGTGAATGTCCTTCTGTGAAACAAGTGTTAGAGTGCCTAGCAGAGACCCGTAAGGGCGTTCGAGGTATGATCGAGAAATTAGCATGAAGCAAAGGTCTATAATTCTTGATGCTCTGCACCTACTGAGAACAAGTCCTGATGTAAGGGGCGTGTAGCGCTATACATCGGTCGCCTGGAGCACACCGATGCTTAAACCAAAGACCGA